TCTCACCCAGAGCCCACCTCCCAGCGGTGCCCCTGGCTCTGATTTTCCCCAGGGAGGTGTGAGCTAAGGACAGCATCGTATTGTCCAGACTTTTCTGCACAGCCGTTCCTGAGGCATTCAGTGCGAAGCTTGGAAGACCATCATCGGTGTTTGTGCCAAGAATAAATCCTGGTTTCTCAAACTCCTCTCTTTGCAATTACATTTGTGAACTTCCCCACCCACACCTCCACGGATGTAAATAGAAACATTTATAAAAATCATCTTCTGTTCAGTTAAAAACTGGGGTGTCCTGAATGATAGCCCCTCTCCTGGCGGGCAGGCTTCTCAGGTCCCATGGACTTGAATGGCTTTAACCAGAGACTGGGAGCGGCCAGAGAAGGCCCCCCTTCATTCAGCTCTGACGACAGAGCTTGACGACAAAGGGGATCCATGTAAAACTAGGGTCCGCATCCACGCCTACAGGAGGGCCAGAGTCTGCTATCAATTACCATTTAGGGAGAAACACTTTGCTAAGGAGGGGTGACGCCGGCACAGATGAGGAAGAGGCAACATTAAAAACANGGCAAACTAGGATGAGTTGGTCACACTGGAATGAGGCCAGGCCTCAGCAACCTGGCAAAAACATGTCGACCCCCTCCCCCCAACCCCCACCCACTTCCGGGGGCAGCTCTTGGTGCTGCCATATGGGAATTCAGAATCGTATCTCCCGATCTTCCCAATATCCAAGACTCTGAAAACCCAGAATTTTATGCAATGACTTCTGGTGTTTAAATGTTGACAAAAAAAGTCAAATGTTTTGAAAACCGTGCCGGCCAAACAAAGCATTTCTGTGGGTTGCGTGAGGCCTGCGGGCTGCCTGAATGAGCATCTCTGGGCAAATTGACGTAAGCAGAGCCTTCCACATCCCCCCTCTTCCTGCCCCGAGGCCCCTTACACGCACTTTCAGACAATTTTCATTATGCAGAGAGACTTCAGTGATCCATCGTTTGGTTTTTAATTTGACGTCCTTAACCAGGTTTGGATGCTGGGCACAGAATGTAATAGATCAAAGCAGGGATGAGTAGTGGTAACAGATACACCCATTCCATTTTTTTTGAAAGATGGAATTAGTGTTCAATGGCTTGTTCTCCCCCCAATCTGGAAACGTACTACGTGGTGGGGAAGATAAAGAAGAACATGCATCTCAAACATAAGCCTGAGCGATTAGTTGAGGTCTGTTTATTCTGGGTATCAGGACAGCCACCTGGCTGAAATAGGCTCGGGAAAGAACCATCGTTTTGTCTGTGGGGAACCGGAAGGCCCCGGGGCCAGTGTGTGGAGGCAGCAGAGAACCGTGGAGTTTTAACACCGTGGTCAGAATGGTTGGGCTGGGCTATCAGCTCACTTTCAGAGCCAGCGTGACTGAGGGGACACTACCTAATGTCTCTGGCCCACGGTTTCCCCATTTGTGCTGCTAAGAGGCTGGCATGCAAGGACTCCTAAGAACCGCTCTTCCCATCAGCTCCCTAATTCAAAGCTTTAACTTTGATTAGACTTTTGCCAGGATGTCTTCAGGCCCGCCAGGGTGAAAGAGTCGGCAAGGGTTTGAAAGAACAAATCAGTCCAGACAATTGTGACATCTTTTTTTCTTTTCTAGATGGAATGAGTAGATATGGGCCATAGTAAGTTGATCTGATGTCTGGGCGCCACCAAGCCAGCACACTGGATGGCTTTTTTTTTTTTTCATTGTGTCGGTTGATTTTTCTTTAATTGAGTGCAGATCAGAGCGTGGTGATGGGAGCTGGGTGTAGGAAGAATGTGTCAAAGGCAGGGGCCCTGTGACCAGCGAGCCTTCTGCTCCATGAGAGGGGAGGGTAGAGCAGGTGGGGGAGGACCTGATTCATGCCAGGCTGCAGTGTCACCTTTATTAACGATGACGGGGAGAGAGAGAGTCAGCAGGCAGCTAATGCAGACTGCAGCGGATGGGAATTGGAAGGTGTTGTCACCATTCCAAAGGACAGGGAAGTGAAAGTGGGACAAATGGGAATTTAAGAGGAGGGAGGTGAGCAGAGGNAAGGTGACAACCTGCACCGTCCCTGTACTGGAGGAGGATCCCAGGAACACAGTGTGCCCCTCCACCAGCTGGAGACTTGGAGACTCAAATGAGACCTGGGGGGGCCTCGGGGGAGCATCGTCCGACATAAAAAGGACAGGGAAGGTTTCTTCCAATCTTGAAATGATAGCCTAAGAAAGATGATGCTTATAAGGAACGTGTAAGGGCTTTAAATTCCAAAATGAAATATGTAACCCCATTATAGTGAGAGCATAATTGGTGGCTTAATTCAATGCAATAAACATTCATTGTCTTAATCGTAACATAATGTCAGTTGTGTTGAATGCTTCATTTTAAAGATATAAGGGGCTACAAATATGTACAGTCATTCTTTTTTGGGAGGGCTGACCTGACTCAGAGTTGAAGAGCCCAAATCTTTATCTGTTTCTGTGTAGCTTTACCTTATAAGCATTGATAACTTAGCCATATGACATGCCTATACTCTTAATTGTAACCACTTACTGAGCACTTATTCTGTGAGCAGTATTGCATTATCTACTTAAGGAATGTGATCACGTTTAATCTACCTATCACCCCCATCAAGTCAGTATTACTTACAGGGGCCTAACAGCTAGCACCTCAGGATCCTGGATGCAAATTCAGCTGTGGGTGACTCCAAGTCACCACCCTCAGAGTAGAAAGAACTGGCTCATTTTATCGGTGAAGACCAGAAAAGGAAAGCAACCAGCCCTGGGGCACACAGGAAGCAAGTGTCAGGACTGGAGCTGAGACCAGGGTCTCCTAACTCTGGGCTTGTTTTCTACTCTATCCGTGCGACATGAGGCCAGAAAGAATGGCCAGGACTCCAAAAGCCATTCCCCTTCCCACTCAGGCTAAAGCCATTATACAGAGAGGAGATAACCTTCCACTACAGACCAGGCGTTAGTCCAATTCCCTAAGGAAACCATTTAATTATGTAGAAGAGAGCCCTTTACCAATCTGTGCATCCCCTGTAAACTGACCCAAATGAGCTCAGGCCACTTAGATACCTTCTCAATCTGTGCCCTATTTACTCTTCCACCTGAGACCATATAGCCATTCACTGAGCAAATATTTGTTAAGTACCTACTGTGCACCAGGCACTATATTGTAGATGAAGAGATAAGAAGAGAGGAGAACCCTAACCCAGCCTCTGNCGGGCCACCCTGAGGACCACAGCCCCCCAGGACCCCCGCTAATTAATATTAACCACACAATATCAGGCTTTTCTTTTGCTCTCTGGCCACCACACAGTGAAGAGACCCTGACTGTTTTTCTCCGGAGCCTCAGCTCTCTCCCAGGTGTGCAAGACCTCCCTGCATCCTGACGGGCTGAATTAATTAAGAGGATTGATGGTCGTGGATGGCTGGAGAGGCTTTTCTGAGGCAAATAAGCTCAGGGCGTTAAGTACCCCTCATCAGCCGAGTCTCTCTATGATCGCACTTTTTCTCCACGTTTGACCTACTTTCAAACCGTGTCTCCTCATGCTGTGATTCATTAGCTACATTTTAAACCACCCCGAACGGAGCCGAGGTGACTCTGCCTGGTTTGTGCCAGCATCTCCAATACAATTTCTCTCCAGATTTGAATATTCAGGCCCCCCCACCCTGCATCCCCCCACCCCAGTATTCTGTTTTAAGAAGAAATTTCCCGCCTGGCATGTTGCTTGGGGATGGATGAGTGGCTGCCTCTCGCCTTGGTAGTAAATATGTGTCTGCTGCAAAATTTCTGCCGGGGCTAGAGAAAGGGGGGTTCTCACTAGCCTGGTCAGCAGGGGATCCCTCCACCCCACTGTCCCCCATGCAGTATTCAGGCTTTTCCACGTTGCTGACAGGGCTGGGAGTTGGAGCTCCTACACTATAAAGTTTGAGCCATGTCACCATTAGGAGTACCTGAGTTCCTGGGCAAACGCAGCCTGATCAGCACGCCGGCCGTCATTCCTCTATCTCTTCCCAAACATTTAAAACATGGTGGCTGTGGAAGGTCTCAAACTTGTGAAAAGGGGGACAGGGGCAGGAAGCACCGAGGCGTTTTGCCATGGAGAGGGTAATACTGAAAAAGGGATGCATGGCAGAGAAGCATCATGCCATTCTATCGTTCTATCATTGTGTGACAAAGAGGTCTTGCTTTTTTTTTTTTTAGTTTAAATGACGGGAGGAGCCTTTTCTAAATCTGAACCTGCTGCTGGTGTCTCATGCCATTCTACAAATCAATCAGTCACATTGGTGTGATTTCTGACAGATTTAATACCAAGGTGGGCTAGACACCATAGCACCATAGCAGATAAAAAGGGGGTGCTTCCAGACGGAAGTAGAACACTGTCATTTTTCATTAGCAGCCAAAGGCAGGTAACTTGTCCAAACTTCAGTTACATCGCGCTGCAAACCGTACTGAGAGGCACTCAGCTGGGTTTGTCTGTGTGGTAGATAGACCGGGAAATGAACAAGCCGGTAAAAAGTAATCTTGACTGATCGGCGAACTGTAACACCCTGAGCCAGTCCTGATAAAATGATAGCGGTTTCTTTATAAAATGGTCACTCTCTCTAGGAGGGGACTGGAACCCCGTCTCCCTTTTATTGTCTTTTAAAATGAAGCATGGAAGTTTCCCTAAACAAGGCGTCAGACAGCACTGCCTTTTCAAGGTAATTCCAGGCGACCTGAGCTCTGAGGTTTGTTTTCCGCTTTTTCCCCCCTTCAAATTCAAATCAAGCCACTGCAAATAACAAACATTCAGTCTCGATGCATTTGGGGTAGCCTGCAGCTCTGACAATGGTAGATTTTCCACCACACACCACCACACACACAAGCTCACAATCCCAGGACTCCTTTAAGCCAAAGCTTTCAAAGTAAACTATTGTCCAAGAGACGATAGCATTTTCTCTTACAGGATCATGGATCACAAAAAAGAAAACCTACCCAAATCTCTTACCTTGAAGCAGGGGAATTACCTGCAGAGAGGGTCCTTCCTTTCCTTGCAACATGAGCCAGGCTTTGGCCAGCAGCAGAATTACTCCAAAAGAAGGAATAATGAGTCCTTTATGTTGTAATTTTCACTGTTTATATGCAAGAAGTGTAGTGGGTCTGCTCACGTAGGAATAAATAAAAAGCCGAACAAACTGCTCGGCAGCTACCATGTGAAGAGAAAAGACCTCTAGTGGCCACAGGCTGAATTCTTTGAGGAAGGAAGAGATGGAGGGAGTAGAGGAAATACACAACGTGTTCTCTCTCTCTCTCTCTCTCTCTCTCTCTCTCTCTCTCTCTCTCTCTCACACACACACACACACACACACACACACACACACACACCCTCAGACTCTAAGATTTCTCCTTTCTTGCATCCAGGCCAGAGGAATAAACAATAAAAGCCTGTTTCTTGGTGTAAGTGGAGCCCTGTTAAGTTAGCAGTGGCGTTGGTGCTCTGGTCTGAAGGGGCCTGATTATGTCACAAACTCAGCCCCACCCCCAGGGGCCTGGGCAGGAGAGCGGGTTTGACCCCCTGGATCTTCCACGCCATTTGCCCCAGTGCAGAGGCTCAAGGTCCCCATCACCACAGTGTCAGGGCTGCTGCTCCCAGCTTTGTGCCCTGCCAGCCCCGCATGGTTTCTGCACACGTATAATGTGCGTGATGGTCATCGGCGGGCAGGGCTGGCCCCCTGGATGTGCGGCCTGGCTTGGCGCTCAGAGGGCCCTGCGTCTTCTGTCGTGAAGTTCTGAATAATTTTTGACAAGGACTCTGCATTTCCGTTTCCTTCTGAGCCCCCTGATGACACAGCTGGTCCTGCTGGCAGGAAAGCACAGGGCTCCTAACATCCTCATCGGGAAGAACCTAGAGGCAAATGAGAATTCCTCCTCATCTCTGGGAGTGACTTTTGGGAATGTGAACTTGAGGAACATTCAATTCCCAAGAGATTCCCTGTGGTGGAATGCGGAAGGGGCTTCCTGGGGACATCGCGGCTGTTCCTCCACCACTAACTAAACTATAAACCTGTAACCTGGGAGAATATTTTTATTTCACATTTGTTATATTTTTCTAACAAAGGAAGTTGGTATTATATTTTGGGTTATGTGTGTGTGTGTGTGTGTGTGTGTGTGTTGTTATTATTGTTTTTTAACAAAGACAGCAGTTTGTGATACCAAACCTGTTTTCTCCGTTCAAGCATAATAAATAAATACTCCCAGGCCCCGCCTCTCTGGTGTGCGTTATGTCCGACACCCTTTAGCAGTGGGGTTCCCTGGAGACTCTTGCATCACACCAAGCAGACCGTCTTCCACAGCCTGTCCTTGACCTGGCCTAGTGGGGCTTCCTTCGGCCAAGACGGCAGCCCCAGTGGAAGCTTCTGGAAACAGCCTTGAGTGGACTTGTGGTCACCCCTTCCCTTACCAGATTCCCAGAGCAGACCTCCCTAAGTGCTGCCGGCAGACACTAGCCCAAACAGGAAACTCACCCCAGTACAGACTCGTAGAATGTGGGAGGGAAAACGTAGGAAAGGGGCTGGTGATGGCTTCTGATGTGCGACCGGATATGGTGTTTGCTCTTCTGATTCCACGCATCTTCCCGGACCCACCTGGTCTGCACGTCCTTGCGTGGATTCCCCTCCTGTCTGAATCCCTCTGGCACCTGGTCTGCTCCACAGATCAAGGGCCTTCGCCTTTGCCTCATGGATGTTAGTCTTACTTTCCTAACGAGATCATGAGCTCCCAAAGAGCGACGACCTCCCCCTCTCGTTTCTTTTTTCCTCCTCGGCCCTTAGCGAGTGCGGTCCCTGGTAGCTGCCGGCTTCTTGTGGTGGTCCAAGCACGGCCCCAGTAGAGAGCTTCAGGGCACTGAAGGCTCTAGAGGAGCTCTTGGGTCCTTCCAATATACCTCTGGGGGCAGGTACACGTGGGTGATCGCCCCACTTTACAGACGACACAACCGGGGCTTAGACATGTACAAGCATGTACAAGAAAATCAAGCTGTCTTCAGGGTCTTGATTGAGGCTGGGTCTCCTGACACTAGTGGTGTGCTCTTTTCCCAGTGTACAGGTGGCTGGAGAGGGAACGGATCGGGCCTTGGGTCCTGGATCTGGAGCCCCTATTACAGTCCCAGGCACATAATAGGTGTTCAGTAAATGCTTCTCGGATGAATGAGCTGATGAGTGAGCCAAAAGGAGGAACCCCCTCTTAGGGAGCTTTCTTATGCTGATCTGGTGAGGAGATACTCTCCATCCCTGGGGGGCCTTTTTATACTTGTCTGGGGTCTAAAGTCAAGGAAATGCAGAAGATGAGTCTCATGGCCCTCCCTTCACGATTTCATAGCATTTTTCTTTATTTCTTGCAGAGTCACTTTGTGGCATGTATGACAGCCATCTTGAACCAGATGGGCGACCAGCACTACTCCTTCTATATTGAGACCTTTCAGACCAGCTCTGAACTTGTGGTGAGTCTATAGGATGCTGGGGGGAGGGGGTGGCAGCATGGGGGAGACATGTCACACTCTTTGTTCTCAAGAGTTCAGGGCAAGAAGGGCTCCACCGTGGACCGTGAGTACGTGTGTGTCTCAGTTTACAGACATGACCGTGTGAGTCCCTATTTCTCATTCCCACGTAGGCCGTACGTATCTTCTGGAGCGTGTCTTCAGTCCACGTCAGGCTGAGACCTGACTGTCTAGTACAGACGTGGTTTAACAAATATTTGTTGATGAATGATGGACATTCTGGACCTTAAGGGCATGGATGCTGGAGTCACGCTGGGTTGGGTTTGAATCCAGGACTCGTCACCAGCTAGCTGTGTGACCACTGACAGGCTAACCTCTCTTAAGCCTCAGTTTTCACATCTGTAAAGTGGGGATACTGCTGTTTATGTCACAGGGTTGTAAAGAGGTGAACTGAGAGCACAGTCGTTCTTACATATGAAACGCCCAGTAGGAGATAGCTAGTAGGACGTTATGATACCAAACGTGTGGAGAGAGCTGGCCTTTGAGTCCCTTTCTTCATCTAGCCTCTCAGGGCTCATTTGCTACAGGCCTGTCCAGCTGTGGCTTGTGGCCTGAAGGTCCGTATTGCTGCAGCAGATGGCTTCATCCACCTAGAGCCCCGCCTGGGCTGTCCACCTGCTTGCCCAGGGCCACAGAGCTAGCATGGGGCAGAGGTGGGGTCCGAACCTCCATTCTAACCCTATCTCCAGGCCACGTCTTCTCATTCAGAAGCCGTCTGTGAGCCAGGGGCCTTCTCCATCCCCGTAGGGAGGGAACGGGCCTGTGATGATACCCACACTTCCCCAGATGACATTAGGATGGATAATAATACTGTCAGCAACAGCATGGAGCACTGAACACTTACAATGGGCCAGGTTCTGCGGAAGCATCTCAGGGACAGTGAGCACTTAACCCTCACAGTGACCCTCTGAGGTGGATGCCACCCCCATTCTGCTAAAGCAGAAACTGGGACTTAATGCATTGAGGTAATTTTCCCCAGAAGCAAAGATGGCTGGAAAAGAACCAATCTTATCTCTAAAATTTTGCAATTTCGCATGAAGCAGTGATTTTCAAATTGTATTCCCCCCAGCCTTACTATCCTCTACCATAAACACACACACGCACACACATGCACACACACACACATATTTCAACCACAGCTCTCCTGCATTTATGTTTTATATACTAGGTTCCAGGTAAGATTTTCTTTGAACAAAGAATTCTGCTGTTAAAATAATTTGAAAACCGCTGGCTTAAGGAAAGAGCTCTGAGCGGGTTTCCTATGGATTTAAAATTTTACCTGAAGCACACAGGGAAAGACGGTATGACTTCATGTCTTCCAGCGCAGAAGGGTCCCAAGTGGCAGTGGTCCTGGTTTCTTCTCCTTGGCTGTGTCTTGAATTTGTGTCCTCCAAAGATGGAGAACCAGTTTGGTCCACTGCACAATCTGATGGGCTGCACTGAGGTCCACTTTGAACCTCTTCAGAGCAGAGGAACAGAGTCCCCCGTGGTCTTTCCTCTAATCAGCCCAGGAATGTTTCTGTGACACGTGAATTAGCTGTGTTTACAGTACTGCTAATTAGATGCTTATTTTAATAGTAGTTTGTTTGCTCGATGACCTGAGATGCTTTCATATCGTGTATGTTATTTCCTTCTTAAATACGTATTTGGGAAGATGATTATAAAATTGCCACATCAATGAATATGTTTACTTCTTTACTCCCAAAGACAGCATTAACAGTGCTTTGAGAGTGTCATCGCATTTCATATTCATGTCCCACTTAGGTTTGTGAAACAGTCTCCCAAATACCAGCTTTCAGCCTTCATTTAAAAATCCACCTCCACTGGTTTCAATGGATGGACTCAATGAAAGGCTGTGTCCTTTCCCTTTCTGCTCCTCCAAAAAATTGTAAAGAAATAATAGAAACGGCCAACAAGCTCTTGGCATTTTTCAGTCTGTCCCTATAAAATAGGATGACAAGTGTGGTTTTTTTGTTTTGTTTTGTTTTGACTATTTCAGGACTTCTTGATGGAGACATTCATCATGTTCAAGGACCTCATTGGGAAAAATGTGTATCCAGGAGACTGGATGGCCATGAGCATGGTTCAGAACAGGTGAGTGGCGCCGGCTTCCTGACAGCCATGTCCCCCCAGCAGTCACGTAGGTAGAGATAAGGTGGGGATAGTTTCTCCGTGGTGAAAATAAATCGAAGTGTCAGAGCTCCTCTTTCTATTTTTAAATCCCAGGAAACTCCTTACCAGCCTTTCTTTTTTCTTAAAGTTTTTACTCAAATCCCCGGAAACTCTTCACCAATCTTTCTTTTTTCTTAAATTTTTTACTCCCTATGACCTTTTTGTATACCATTCTTTAAATACCAGTTAACATATCATCTTTTGGGTGAAGCCTTCCCTAAACTCTTTGAGACAGGAGAGGTTAAGATCAGTCTTATTAAAATTATTTTAATTCTTTTTCAAAATAGAAAATAGAATATATTCTGTGACATATGGCAAAATAAATGTAGGATTAAACAGCTTTGAACAGATTTCTGTGCTGCAGGACTTCTCAGAGCCTTGAATATGCTAATGTGATTCTCTAAATTAAGGATTTAGGAGACAGTGTTTCACAGATTAATTGGCCCGTGGAACCATTTGATGTGCATATATGTATGTCTCTGTGTGTATCTATAATACCTATTAGCATCTCATAGAATACCAGTGTCACTCAAGTATAACTCAGATCACACATGGCCCAGCACATTAGATTAAAAAAAAATTATAGTAATTATAAGCAATTTCAGCCTTTAATGCTTTCTCTCAAATAGTATTATTTCAAGCAAATTAAATTCAAATCATAACACTCAGCAATATTTTATAACATCGCCTTTCTCCATTCCTCTCAGTGTTTCTCAGATCTCATGGCTTACCCAAGTCTCTCTCAGGACCTTATTCTCAATTCCTATCCACAGACTCCTTGAAAACTGGGTCTTCCTGGCTCCTCTCTTTCCTGTCTCTCTCACTTTCCTTTGGCTTCTTGTATTTGTCTTAAGCGTTTCCCATGGGAAGCCCTTCGCTCTACATGAGCTAGAAGTATTTTTCTGTCCGCTGATTACCCTTGTTCTAGATCTCAAAAGCCAAGAATTGGCTGGCAAAGACAGAAATACCCGCAGAGAATAGAAGAAGGGTAAAAACTGAAGANTGCACACACAAATACTGAGGCTGGGAACACAGTGTGGACAGCTGTCAAAGGTGATTAGAATATGACCTGGATAAGTGAGCTGGGGGAATTAGGACAGATTCTGTGTGGCCTGGTGGTCGAGTTTAAAGGAGCAAGAAGGAAGCGTGGAAAAACTAACGTTGAAAGTGGGCCAGACGATGCAGAGAATTGCACCCTGTGCTAAGAGGTTTGGGTTTTTCTCGAATAGTCAGTGGGATCCATTGAAGATTTTAAGCAGGAGCGAGAGTTGGTCCCATTCCATTTTAGTAAGGTCGCGTGCTGCCTGCAGTATGGCGATGAGAGGGGGCAGCGCTGGAGGCCAGGGATCCCTTAGGACACTGTTGCAATAATCCAGGTCGCAAGGATGGTAGCTTCAATCAGGGCAGAGAAACGAACACATTCAAGACAAATTTCTAAATCTCCAGGGCTCGATGATTTATGGAATGCAAGAGGAGAGAGAGAGGGAGAGAGAGAGAGATCAGAAACAAGGACTGGCTGGATTATTGTCTTGAGCAGGTGGGTGGCTCTGAGAAGGAGCACACGGGGAGGAGGAAGACGCGTCCGGGAGGGAAGGATGCTTTTGGCATGTTTATTACGAGCTGCCTGCAGGGTGTCCCGGGGGAATGTCCAGCAGGAAATGGGACACCTGGAACGCTCTTTATTTACCAGAAAGGATCCTAAAACTGTCAGCACTTGGCGTGTAATCTTATGGTCTTATGAAAAATGACCAAAAGGATGGCAGCTTGATCCCAATCATGGATGCGTAATATGGCTCAGGGAGATCAGCTAAGCAGAGGCCCTGCGGGCCCTGGGGCAGCTGAGGAGACTTTTCTTCTTTGAAACCACCGCTAATAACACAGGCCTCAGTCTCTGATGCGAGTTCACTCACTTGCTCGCTCATTTGGGAAACCTTTTATTGAGCCCTTTCCATGTGCGGGATGTGGGATAAGGTCCTTGCAGCTAAGTGTCTCCAGGGCTGGTGGACCACAGACCCCATGGGCATACGATTATGATTCCGTGTTACTGGCAGGAGAGCCGCATGTCAGTGCTCAGATGTTCTTACACTTTGGGATGCAAAATATTGCCGTGGAGTAGGTGTGGACACTGTGGGATGCCATTCCAATTTCCTCTTGGTGAACTGTGCAAAGCACACCTGCAGAGAGACTGAGCCTTCGAGTTTAGTGTCATTATTTTCATATTTTTCAATGCTATCACAGCTCTGACTCTCTTGAGTCCTTAGGAAGGCCACCTTTAGAGTCTCCTCACTCGCTGTGTTCATGGTGATGAGTGCAGTGGAAGAAGAAAGGGTTGAGTGTTACTGGAGCAGAGGGAGGAAGTGCCCAGCTCTGACTGGCAGAAGAGTGTTAGGTGAATCACAGAAGGCTTCCTGGAGGAGGGACTGGCACATCTTTAAAAATGAATTGGGCTCTGTGGTGCATAANGCCACTATCTGGAGGCCTAAGAGTCTAGCCATGTGACATGATAAACACAGTTGCCTGCAGCACTCTTGGGGCCAGCTTTAGGGGCCGGTAAAGGGGAAGAGAGGTTTGTCAAGGCAGAAAGAAGTATCTGTCTGTGTATCAGAGCTCACGGTAGGAGGAAGAACATCAGCCCAGCAACGGAATGTCAGAATGGACTAACCTCGCCCTGATTCTCCCTGTTTCTGCCACACAGATGGGAGACTGGCTTTTGCAGTGATTAAAGTGTTGGTGGGAAATTAGGCCCAGACCAGGTTGTGGATCAGAGGCAGGTCCCTCCCCAGCCCTCGTGTCAGGGTCAGCTTCCTCAGCCCCTGCACCCTAAAGATTCCAGTGCTTGGTTGAGTGCCCTGGGGTCGCAATCTTGAAATTCTTAATAATTTTTCAACAAGGAGACTCACATTTTCACTGCACTGAGCTCAGCAGTGCGTGGCTAGCTGGTCACCGCGTATGTCGCTGCTCAGTCACCTTGTGCTATGGCGGTAGCCAGCTCCTGAGCTGTGTGCCAGCTGCTCAGCGATGCCTGGGGCCCCTGCCAAATTACATGATCCACCCTGTACTTCAGATACTTTCAACTATTCACTGTTACCTACCATTTTATACACCGATGACTTTGCAGAAATGGTGACTCTAGGCTACACTCAACATTAAAAGCACCCTTCAAATTCTTGACCGTGTGATTTCTCCTCTGTGGGTCCTTCTGGGACTCTGTCATGGTAGGAGAATGTGTTTCTTCTCTGTTTCCATATGTGCCCCGATGATAACACTTACTCCACTGTACTCTAGTTATCTCTTCATATGACAGTTGCTGCCTCCAGAGAATGGGCTTCTTGAGGGCCAGCACCATGTCCAGTTTATTTCTGTGTTTCCAGCTCCTGGCACAGAGCCTGACATTCATAAATGTGTATGATGAGTCTCTGTGTATCCGGTGGGTAATTATGGACTAGGACTTTTAAATAAATCGAATTCAAATCTGCCTAAACAAAAAGAGAATTTATTGGCTCAGACAACTGAAAGATCCCAGCGTTACGGCTTCAGGCATGGATGGGTCCAGGAGCTCAGACAGTGCTGTAGGGAATCTGTGTCTCCACCTCTGCCCTCTTCTCTGTTGACTTCCTCCTCAGGCAGATGCTCTCTTTGTAGTGAGGAAGATGGGCTCTAGAAGTCCCAGATATAGGCCTTGCTTGATTAGTGACCCCAATGGAACGAAAAAGCCTCATCTTCAATCGGTGCAGCAAAAGTCCCAGGCTGATCTTCAAAAGTCTGGCTTGAGCTGCAGGCCCATCAGAAACCTCCATGGCCAGGAGAATGAAATATGCTATTGGGTTCTCAGAAAAGTCATGACGCATTTTTGCAACGAAAAACATAGAATACATCATGACTTTTCCGACAACCCAATATTTCATAAGGCTTGGTTCACATGAGACTGGGAGGCTATGGTTAGCTCTACCCAACACAAAAGAGGAGCTGGGGGAATCATTGTTCAGAGGAGAGTCTTATCAGTGTGCAGACGTCTGATGCAGTGTCAGGGGGACGCGAGCCCAGAGAGGCTGGAGCCCCAGCAGGCCAGCCCCCACTTCTGAGTAATCCACAGTTATCCTGGAGGAAACCTGTGGAAGAGCTTTGGAGAAATGTCCCCTCCTGAAGTCCTAGCTAGCTATATATGGACTTTAGTTTCTTGGGGGTACAGGCCCCCAGAGAGGATATAATAATCCTTGTTCCTTAGTTCTGCCACCTTCTTCTTCTTGGAAAGTCATTTCATCTCTCAGAATCTCCTTAGCACAGTGCTGGTACCTCAGAAGAGCTTGCTGAATGGAAACCCCACCATCTCCAGGTGCAGACAACAAACTTAGTCTTGGACTAGAGAAGCATGTGCCTGACGTCGACCAGCAAAGATGAATATTTTTCTCCTTGCAGCCATATAGATTAGTTAACAGATTCCTTCATCTTCAGGCCACAGTGATCCCTTACTGCATTTATAGAGCACTTGAAGTCTTCTTACTGTTTTTGCATCTCGTGTAACGTTATAATAGCTAATATGTGCTAAGTACCTATCTCCACCTCTGCTGTAAATGTTTTACACGTATTTGCTTATTTCATCTTCCCAGCAACTTTATGATGTAGAACTATTATAATCCACCTTTCATCTATGAGGAAACTGAGGCACAGAATAGATGAGTAACTCACTCAGTGTTGCACTGCTAATAAGAAACAGGCCATGCAATCAGAGCCCATGGTCTTAGCCCTACCAGACCTGAGGCCCTGAACCTAACTGTCCCCTGTACCTGGGCTGCTGAGCATTAAAGAGAAAAAACCAGCATGATACAGAAAAATGTTAGTTACATGCAAACAAGTGGTTAGAATAAGATGGAACTTGGAGACATTGTAGAAAATAGGAGTGCTTTTCCATGCATACAACACAG